GACGGCCAGTGCCGGGTGGTACTCGTCAACCGGCAGCATGCCCTCGTCCGCCGCAGACACCGACACTGACACGCCTGCCCTTGCGCTCAGTACGAGGTCTAACTGTCTGTTGTTGCAGTTTGGAACCGTGTTAAACTGAGTGAATTCACAAAATGACATAAAATATTCAAAATAGTTAACAATTCCATTATTACACGAATGTAGATTAAAGTCTCCTAATAATATAAAATTGTTTTTGTACTTAACACACCATTTTTCTAAAATATTAAACATCAACATATACTCATTTTCATCTGTTAATGGTGGAATGTAAACAACACAACACGCAAATAAGAAACGGTTATTCATATAAATAGCAGTACAAACTAGTTCAAACTTACATTTATTGATGTCAACATCACCTGGCACAAACACTTGTCGCAGCTGGAACCTAGGTCCAGCCACCACCATTACACCTCCCTGCTTTCGGCCGTCCGCCCTGTCGCATCTCACTACCTGGTAACCAGGAAGTAAGAATTCGGCGTCTCGAATTGATTCGTTTAATCCAGATTCCGTAATAGCGAATAACTCCGACTCCGACGATCCCAGCAACGACAAGAACTGTGTCGTCTTAGTGCGTAGCCCTCTGACGTTTTGGTACAGTAGGCTGACATGTCTACGCGGTTTGTAGTTTGTCTGGTTTGGATGAGGGGCGAAACCAGATCCACTCACTGAATTCTACATTTAGTGGCCAAACATCTGGGTCACAAAGTTTTTCAAAATTACTAACTGTTACCCCCACTTTGAATGAGGCATAGTCACGATCCGTTTTAGGTTTAAGTTTTTCGACAATAACTTCTGAGTCATCGCCCAGTGTCAGTTTGATATGCTCCCTTAACTGATCTTCCGTTGTGGTTTTTTCCAGTCTCCACACATGTAAAAATTTTCTACGTTCTACCGCCTTTAAAGTAGCGATTGAATTATTGCCACCTCTTCTTACAGGTTTCCTTTTGTTTTTAACTTCAATCCACTCATTATCTATGATGCAATTTACTTTTGGTGACGCTTCCTTCCGAGCCACCTCCGCGTAACTGGTCACCGCAGGACTCGGCTCCGGCAGCGCAGCCGCCTGGACATGGTTATTATTCATGCGTGGCAATCCTGGCGTGTTACCATCATAATATCTTGGAGGTGTGTGCGTTGGTACACTTGAAGACATTGTAGTACAAGTATCGATGTAACGTTTTACATTATTTTCTTTAGATAATGAACTCTCAGATCTCATACGTTTAATTTGCTGTTCATAAGCATTACATTTCTTATTCGCATCATTCAATTCCTGCCTGAGCTTACTATTTTCGACGGCCAGGACAGCTACTGTATTTTTAATTTCCTCTAGAATATTCAGTTCGAAAGCATTAAGTTTTGCCATGATTAGGTTGCTTACTTTATCTACTAAGTCATCCGATGTTAACTGTAACGTGGTCTGTACTCCATCCTCAAAAGACTGATTCTGCTCCATGATATCTGATACCAAACCGACAGCGGCACTGACTCCGCGCACCGGTGTATCATCGGTAACTCGAATACGCTGGGTTACATTAGCGCACGATTGACATTTAAAAGCCCGCTTTAATTGTACTTGGCCTTCCCTAAATGCGGCCGTGGTAATATTGACACATTTATAGTGATAACAGGATTTGCACCCAATACATTTAATCAAATCCCCTGCATCAATTTTTCGATTACAGGCTGCACAATTCATTGTAAATTCCAAGAATTCCACGACAGCACAGCGCGAGCGAGACACAGTTAGCTCACTTGCCCGAGAGTGAAAGAGCGCGCTGCGACAGTTTCGCGCCACCCGCGCTTTGTTATTGTCACTCACTTCAAGGAACACAACACAAAATGTTTGGTTGGAAAAAGCGTCAAAAACACTCACTATCACTAATTTTATTATTGTTCTCCATAGTCTATGTTTACAATAACACAAAACATTAACTTTAACACAGTTTTTAGCATCCCACTCCGGATTATCGAATTAATATCAATAATATTTATACGAGTGACTTGCACTCCGCGCCGCGCCCATGGAGTTTTATACGCTTAATATATATATAGTATAAATATATGTTTATTGATGTACTAGCTGATGCCCGCGACTTCGTCTACGTAGAATAATAACTTCTGGCAGAATTCATCAGAATCGATTCAGTACCTAAGTGAAATTTATGGTGAAATGAATTTGTCGTAGTTTTCAGTTAGATTCAATGATTCAAGATTCAATGGCTAAGAAGATATTTTATACAAACTCTCATCCCTATTTTATCCCCTCAGGGGTGGAATTTATCAAAAACTTTCTTAGGAGATGCTACGTCATAGTAGCTTTATGCATCCAAAGTCTCAACCCGATCAGTTTAAAATTGACAGACTTTCATACAAACTTTCATCCCCTATTTTATCTCTTTGGCGGTGGAATTAATCAAATTCTTTTCTTATGGGATGTTTACGTCTTAATATCTACCTGCATGCCAAATTTCAACCCGATCGGTTTTTTTACGGCTAGCCGTTTAGCAAACTAGGGTAGTTTTGTAATACAACGGCTGAACGATTAGCCGAAGTGAATACGGCTGGGACGTTATGCCCAATTTAAAGTTGCAAAATTGAACACGTGCGTGTCTGGTTGACGTAATAATATTGTTTTCTTATTGAGTAATTGGGTTTTTGGGGTTGAAAATTATATGCAGATGCCATCTTGGATTTACATTTTGACAGCACTATCAGTTTTATTATCCTTGAAAATCACAAGTCAAGGAGCACCGCGGATGGTGTTCTTTTCGTGGTAGAGGTAGTGAGTGTACGTGGTGTGCAGGCTGGAGGTGAAGTCGAAGGCCCCGCTGGTGATGCTGGAGGTGCTGGTGCGCGCCGCCAGCCTGGCCGCCGACGTGCGCCGCCACCGCGCGCTGCTACTGCGCTGCACCCGCGCCGACGGCCGCGCGCAGCGGGCCGTGCTGCACGCCCTCACCGCGCTCTGTGCGCACCATACTGAACTGTTGCCCAAGGTGCCCGCCATACTCAAGGTACGTACTGTACACGTACTGCGCCGTTGTATGACAAGGGCACGGACCAAGAGGCCGTAGAGAATTCAAATATAACATTAGAATCAAATGTACTGCGCCGACACACAATTATATACATATAACAAGTTTCCTCTATCCACAGCTGCTATATGACGAAGACATCGTGGAAGAAAAGGCCATCCTAGAATGGGCCGCGAAGCCATCCCGCAAGTACGCCAGCAAGGAAGTCATCGCCGACGTCAGGCGCCGCGCCGCGCCATTCCTAGAGTGGCTGCAACAGGCTGAGGAAGACTCCAGCGATGGAGACGACTCTGAGCATGACATCGAGGTACGATACACGTTTCTTATTAATATAGTCTGTCTGGAAATAAATAACACTTAAATTACAATAACTGTATTTGTCTTAAATCATAGAACTTAACTGACGTTACATAACTTCCAGATCGAATACGACGACCGTGCGAAGGCGACCCCCATCAAGGCGGTGTCGGCCGCGCCCGCCAAGCCCGCCAAGCCCCAGGACGACGACGACGTCGACGTCGACATCGACGCCATCTAGACGTCGCGCACCACCACGCCCACGTCGCGTCTCGTCACGCGCCACAACTCGAGTCTGGTTCGCGACTCGAAGATGTCTCTATCATTCCTCACGCGCTACATCTATGTCTTCACCGTAAACTAGTTTTACAATTCAAGCGAATCACTTAAGAAATGGTCTCTCGGTCTGCCTTATGACGGTAGGACGCTGGCGACAGCATACAATTATTCTGACTAGATGAATTAATACCGTACTCGAAACTTGTATTTAAATTCTTATATATCTGTTCGGGTGACTATGGATTGGAATATGTAGTTATCTAAGTTACACTGCATTTATAGGTCACACTGCCTATTTTATAATATTAGTCAAACGATCTCGAAATTATATCCAACTAAAACTGGCCCCTCACATAGACATAGATATCGTCGTCGTGTTGCGAATCGCAGACTCGGGACCCGGTAACAGATCGCAGACCTTTATCATGTAGTTCACCCTATCTAAAGTACCTTTCCAAAGTAATTAGTATAGGTATAGATGATCTTTTGTCCCTGATGGGAGGTGTAAAGATTATTTACGCCACTAGATGTAATCCAAATTATTTCGAAATAATGAGCAATTTCGTTCATTTAGTATTTACCACCGGTGCGTACTGAGCCAAGTACTATCCTGCCTGCGTGAATATTATTACTTAATGTGAGGAAGTTAACATCTCGATGGATAATGTGTTAAGCAAATCATATCTAATTCAATTAAGACTATTTATAGATTACCTAGCGTAAGGACAGCTCGACATTAAATTTTACAGATGTATTAAGCAATACCTCGTGAGATGTCAATGTGGAGAGTTGGTCGTGAATACTAAATGGACGATGCTTCTAACATTACTATATTCAAAGCTTGAAAACTAGGGTGACTGTTTATAGGAAACTATTTTTTTTTTCTTATTTCCAATACTATGTTCCTATATATAGATTTTTTATTATTGTTTTTAATCAATTTTCCGATATATATTTTGGGACACTGTTTTATATACATTGGTGTAACACCACGTGGTTTTAAAAATGAGGAGATAAAGAGAGAAGGTAAGATTGAAGTCGCTACTGGCCGCGGTGTCGGCTGTAGCCGGCGGTACAGCGACGTAAGTATCGCTCCTCCGAGCCCACGGAATGTCACAAACTGAGAGATGTGTAGTAAAACGTATCAGCAATACGGATGGACGCCACCACGTAATAGCAATGATTGAGTTTAGTATTACAATATTATAAAGTGAGCGCAGGCGTGGCCGGAGTGACGTCGGTCGCCCGGCCCTGCGTGTTTATATATGTGTATGTAATTTAGGTTAGTTTATGTGATGAGGCCCTGCAGGCGTGCACTCCATGTAATATACAAAGGTACTATTTAATATATTATGTATCGGCGCCAGCACCCGCTCCCAGCTCACCGCCGCCGCTGCGACAGACGGGCAATGTTTCCTCTTACTATTAACTATTATTAAAATAGAATATTTTGAAATTGCCATCTGACAATTTTATTAGATTGTTTTGTATTCAATACATTTTGGATTCTGACTTGATGTGTTTTATTTACCACAAATACACCCGTTATCTATACGAAACAACAACAACAGTAATAACTGAAGGACACAGTAATTATTTTATTAAGTTTATAAAAACCGATATTTTATTCTTTTAATCAGTGTACTAAAAAAACCTTCTCCTAGGTGTACACCCTATCTTTTAAACACGTATCTTTTAAACCGCATTAAAATCGGTTCAGCCAATGGCGAGATAATCGCGCACATACATACATACATACGTTTACAGGTCACATTGAGAAGCTCCTTTTTAGAGGTCGGTTTAAAATTAAATGGAATGCAGTACTCTGAAATAACTGAACACTATACACACAAATAAGATTATTTTATACATTTGTAAATAAAACTGCATGAGTAACTTACAATAAATTTTATTTTTATGTACAAAACTAAATAAATACTTAGGTCTATTGGTAACGTTATACCGCATGCATGCGCTTAAAATATTATTATCATAATATGAGATTAGCTGGATTTCATGAGAATTAAAATATTTTTTTTATTACAACTAGGTACAAAATCTAATGCAAATGATAAATCAGTCTTATTTTTATAAGATCTTTTGTACACATACAGATGTGTGAATATGACACGAGGAATAAGTTATTGCACTTGGCTATGCAATCTCATCTATCATTTTGTGCAATGAAACGAGAATTCATAAGTGAGATTATCTTAGCATTCCATTACCTCCATAACTACTTGCATACAATTATACAATAGATGGGTTCTTATGCAACATACGATTTCGTATGGGATTTGTGATGAACAATTTATTTTTAATGAATAAAATTCAAAAATACAACAGTTTTAAGGGATTTGGTCCCATAGTGCGGTATTCAATGATTAGTAGATAGGCAACCGACCAAACCCGATTTCAGGACAAGCTAGCGTGGCCTAGGCGAAACCTCAAGCAGAAGATAGGTGAACCCGACATGGGTGCATAGGTATAAATGGCATATTGTCATGTCATTCGTTAGGTTAGGTTAGCTTCAAACCCTGAGGGTGGTGGAATAGAAGCCCCGTTCAGCGGGGTTCCGTCGCCTTGGACTGGTTTAGCCTAGGTCATACTACTTTGGCCTCAAATCATATTGGTCGGTAATATACACAATGTGAATATTCAGTGTGGGAACTTAATTTATTATGACTATGAATAGGTAGGTACTTGACTATAAAAAGAAAAGCAAACTAAACTCTTAAGCGTGTAAGCAATCAGATCCGCAGTTTCTTAAACTTCATTATAGTTTGTTGTAATTTAAATGCATTGATAATTAAACATCTTAGTTAAAAATAATTAGGTATTTACATGATTTTGCCTTACTTAACTAACTTTATACAAATAATTGAATTGAACGTAGCCGGGAAATTGAGCAAAATGAGTAGTTTAATTTCTATAAATGCAATAATTTAAGTACTTGAATACTTTGTAGATTCTTTCAGACAGTTTTAATAAAACCCTAGCTGTAACGAGAAAGGGATTAAGGGAAGATCTAGCAAGTGTTATTTCAGACCATGAAACTGAACAAGTTTTGCTTTAGTGTTTTTGAGAAATTCAAATAAAAGAAACACTTCTCATAAAAATCGAAGCGAGTTTTGAATTTACACCATTTACTTATAAGATGACCAAAACAAAAATTGGTCAGTTACTAAGGCATGGTCTGCTAAGTTTGGCATTTACTCCAAAATGACTGACTACAGTGAGCTACCACTCACTACGTAGGGACTGTGTGGGCTATACAGCTTGTTGCGCGGTGGAAGTGCCTACGGTAACGACAGGAGTCTGAGTGGCGACGCTGAACGAGGTGATGAACACATTGACGATGGTGATGAGGAAGATGCCGATCACTGTCATGTTATTTATTTTGTCCGCCTTGCAGCGCTCCTTCTGGTCGTTCACGTCGTACCGACTGTTCATGATGAGGCCAACGCCGACAATGATCTGAAGATATTGAGGTATATTTTGTTAGCCGTAATATTCAGAAGGTGTTATGTTCGTGAACGTTAAAACATCAGCGCGAGGAATGCACGTGTTCACTACGGTAGCACGAACTGAACTACCGTTTGTGGATCATACATTCCATAGATATTGATAGTACTCATCTGATGCTAATCCAATTACCCTCCCCTTCTCCAATCTCCCCAATTCCTGAATCCCCAACGATCCTCAAACTCCTAATCCCCAAAAGGCCGCCGGTAACGCACTTGTAATGCCTTTGGTGTTCCAGGTGTCCATGGGCGACGCCGATTGCTTACCATCAGGTGATCCGTCTGCTCGTTTACCGGCTTATGCCATAAAAAAACTCGGTGGTAGTTAGTAGCCCAACTTTGAACTTACTAAACACATTGGATAATGATGTTTAGTTCAATCTACCGATGTGAGATTCGAGTAACAGTGTAAATAAGAAGTAAGTGTACTTACTTGGAAGATAATACTGAGTGAGATGAAGGTGAGGCTGGGGTAGTAGTAGGGGTGCGTGTTGGCAGACTCCAGCACGTAGCGCAGCTGGTTGGCGTTGGCAGACAGCAGCGCCAGGTCCATCATACCCTGCGCCAGGTTCTTCTTTTGCTGGTATGTGTTCACGTTCACGTCGGGGAGAGCCTAGAGCAAGAAGAATTTTGTAAATGAATATCTACATAATATAAAAAATAGGTATCTAAAAAGGTATTAGAGAATATTAGAGAATTAAGGGTATTAGGTATTAAAGAATACTTACGATAGCAGAGAAGGGTGACACAGGCCGGGAGTCGCCGAATCTTGCTGCAAGCTCGTTGACGTCTGTAAATAAAACATCGTTATAACATATTGGTTGTGTTCTGTACCTGTCCCTAAGTACTTTGCTCGTTTATAGGAAACAAAGTATCTAAGACTAGTGTTAGATAAATTAAACTACACAAAACCTGCATGCTTCATGCAGATTAATTATAATTTCATGCAAATGGCTGGTCAAACTGGGAGTACATCGGCTGCTAAGCGTAAGATTCTCATATATAGGTAGGTATTCTTATTGCTTTCTGTAATAGCATCTGTCAATGCTGTGTTGATGTTACCTTATGGCTTTTGGAAACCACTATTTGGACATGCCTAATAGTCGTTTGACCGCCAGCTTATCATTATGTCACCAACATTCTTGAATGTTAGTAGATATCTTATGTCTTAAATGTTAATGTAACCAAAAATAAGAAAATAGTATTAATTAGTTTGTTGTGGGATTTCGTGTAGTGTAATTTATTGTGTCTACTATTTGTACCTACTGATAATTTAAATAATAATAATTTAGGAAAGGAAATAAACTGAATTTTTACACAGTCTCACATAATCGAGTTAGGAATGTCTGTAGATAATACGACAAATTAAATAGAACCGTAAAATAACATATAACCCACCTATATATTTCTACATATGTAGATAAACCTATCTCAGTTTATTGGAACGCACATAACAATCTTTATAATTTGGAAAAGGCGCGCCGTCGGATTTACGTTTGGTAGGTACTGTTGGTCGCTTTTGAGTTCTTTATTATTATATTATTAAAATTTTACAAGGTATAAAATGGTTATTTTGATTAGAAATAGTTCCAAAGATTTGCATTGTATGTAGTGTAACCGCCGTACTCAGAGACGTTTAATCATTACTTAACCAGCCCTTACCAAAGGGTTCGGAACAAAATCATTGCTAAGGAATCGTTTAAGTAATCATTAAATGATTCGAAGTACAGCAGTAAGTAATAAAGTGTTATGTGCCAGTCACCGTAAGGATGGTCAGTCTCGTCATGCCCCGAAGACCATTTACCGTCAGTGACAGCATCGTCGCCATACATCGAGCGTTTGTCGCTGGGGTCCAACTCCGAGTGGCGGTCACTGTCATCTAGAACAAAGGAATGGGACACCATGTTATAGAAAGTCGAACTAAACTTGGGATTTTCAATTCTATGTCATTGTAACAAAGTCAAAATTTTGTTGAAGTTGGTAATTTTATAAATGATTATGTAAAATTAACGTACCTAGCTGATTGGTGTATTAAAATAACTTCAACGTTTAAAATATACATCTATATAATGCGAAGCTAATTGAAAAGCAAACCTCGTATATTGTTCTTAATGAACATAATTCTTTGGTATTCATCTTTATATTTGAGATAGGTTGATGAATACATAACACTATTTACCTACATAGTAATACAGCTAAGTAAATCTAGTCTCGGTGCGTTGTACCGATATATTTAGCATAATCTTGAATAATAACATCTACACGATTTAAGGATGTGTGTGGCGTTATTTTTTGTATATTCAAATGACCTTCAAGCTAGTCTCACTGTTTTTGTGAGCTAAATATAGTTATAGATATACAATGGTGTCTGTTCGTGTACAAAGTAATATTAGATAATTTCTCCTGGATCGCTACGTACCTAAATAAAATAAATATAAAATAAATAGATACGGTTTGCGACTAATCCAAGCCCCATAGGACATGATGACTACGCCGTAGCACGTAGCACTTAGTCTACGCTACGATCATAGACTGCAGAACATTAGATAATTTTAGATAGAAAAACAGAAACTTTAATTTTCTTACAATGTATTATTAGTAAGTGATTAAATGCCTATGATTTGGAATAAATCGCCTAGTGGGAATGTTTTATATAATATTTTTTATATCTGTCCCCGGGGACCACATCCTTTGGTGATGGTGAGTGGCGATCAACGATAACTCAACTGTAATGTCACAATAATATCGCGGACTATTGTTCCTTATCTGTGGTCTGAGGTACATCGCATGCGACCCTGATTTAAAGAGGGCACAATAAGGTGTTGGTACTGATAACATTGTACTAAAATTTATAAAAATTGGTTGCACGCTTATCTCCTTGGGAATAACAACGACCGTCCTTTATAAAGAACAAACACTACTAAGTATATATCCATGTGATTGGTCGATTAATATAAACACGCACTTTTAAGGATCAGCTCTATAATATATCATTGCGATACTACTAATTGAGTACTGTAAAATAAATAGCACCTAAAAAATAAAATGGGCATATAAATGATCGCTGACCGATTTCGTAGAACACTATTTTTAAAAAGTACGCGGGAGGGTGTGTACTATACTATACCATCAGTGTATAATGTTACCTACATACTGTACAGTTTCTGAAGCAATTCTATGAAAACTATTCCAAACCCCTAGACATTCTGAGAAGTTCCATACGCAGTACAGACAGACAGAACAGTATTGCTGAGTTTTAACACATTCTTTTATTTATTTTATTTATTTATGGATAGGAAAACCAACAGCTACACATGGCAAACAAACAGATATTATAATAACACCAGAAAGCCAATTACAGGTTTTCACGGATAGATTTCAAATTATTCAATTAAAAAAACACTCACAGTCCAAACAAATTACATTTAGGGAAAGAAAATAATAATTAAAAAAAACAAAACAACAAGAGCATATACCAACTAAATATAAACTTAAAAAGTGAACACACAACAACCATACTACCGACAATAACAAATTAATAATAAATTGACTTAATTTATTCATCAATTAAAAAACTGAAGAGTGAGCATCCTTCGCACCGCAGAAGTCCGCGTTACAAACGGATCTATTGGATACTCCTTACACAAGTTGTTTAAGTCTCTGCTTGCACGCATAATAAAGGAATTCTGCCTATACCTCGTTGAGGAATTTCGAATTAAAAGTGGGGGATTGTAGCGAATAGATCTGCATGGGACATTGAAAGAGAGTTTGAACAAGAGATCGGGACAGTCAATTTCATTTGAGATGATTTTTAGTAGTGTGGTACAATCCGCTATTCGACGGCGATTAGTAAGGGGTAGAATATGAAACTGCCTACACAATTCTAGATATTTGTCTGAGCTATATGGAACATGAAGTTTGAAGCAAAGAAATTTAATAAAGCGCTGTTGAATTGCCTCCAAGCGCTGGATGTGTGTACTGTAACAAGGATTCCATATTTGCGATCCATATTCCAAGTGGCTTCTTACATAAGTGCAGTACAAAATCTTGAGCGTTTTTGCCTGTTTGAAATCTTTAGAGACCCTCATAATAAATCCAAGAGCTCTATATGCCTTACCAACTATCTCTTGAATATGGTCATCAAACAGAAGTTTACGGTCGTGGTAAACGCCCAAGTCCCTCACTACATCAACTCTGGGTAACACTTGCATTCTCAACCTATAAGTTGTTGGCAATGTACTACGTTTGCGACTATAAGTAATAACTGAACACTTTGTAGGATTCAGGTCCAGTTTGTTACGCTGACAATATTCATCTAGTCGATCCAAATCCGACTGAAGAGCCACCATGTCATTGAAGCATGAGACAGCTGAATAAATCTTCATGTCGTCAGCGAAACAGAGTAGATGAGAAGAATGGAAACAAGAATCGATGTCGTGCACGTATAATATGAAGAGTAAGGGGCCCAACAAGGAGCCTTGTGGGACCCCGCTAGGAACGGGTACCCAACTAGATATATAATTATTGATAACAACGGCCTGAGTCCTGTATGCAAGATATGATGCGAACCAACGAAGCAAATCCCCGTGGATACCTGCAAGCAACAATTTAGATAGGAGAATTCTATGATCTATTCGATCGAAACATTTCGAATAATCTGTATAAACTACATCAACCTGAGCTCCACCATCCATGCTTTGCGACACGAAATCGTTCAGTACAGCCAAATTCGTAACAGTCGAACGACCCCTCAAAAAACCGTGTTGGAAGGGACTGAAACTATTCCTAAGAGCCGCGTAGACCTGATCATATATCACCCTCTCAAATACCTTGCCTAAGATACATAGCTTTGAGATAGGTCTATAGTTGGTGACTTCAGTTTTTGGGCCTTTTTTATGCACGGGTGTAATATAGGCAGACTTCCAGACTTGAGGTACAGTACTTGTAGATAGAGATTTGGTAAACAATAGGGAAACTGGAAGAGCTATAGATTTAGCACACTTAATAAGAAATTTGGGCGACATCTTGTCAGGCCCAGCGCCCTTGTGAGGGTCGAGGTTAGACAACAATCTCATAATTGAATCGACATTAATTTCAATAGAATGAATGTCAGATGCAGTCGAGACGTCATGGTCACGAATTTGAGACACATGGGAGTCAATGTCCGGCTCTAGAAAGGTAGAACGAAAGTGGGTGGAGAATGCTTCGCAGATAGTCATTGTGGAGGACAACGTGACGTCACCGTAAGTTAAATAGCCAGGTATAGTGCCAGACCTGGAGCGATGCTTGACAAAGCTCCAAAATCGCTTCGGATTTACTCTAATACCGGCTTCTGTACTAGCTATGTAAGCAGTGTAACATTCACCTTCAAGTCTGGTGATCCTCTCGCGTAGATGTTTAAAGGTCACCTCATCCGCCAACCTGCCATATATCTTTAATTTGCGATGATATTTGTATTTATCCTTTAAGAGTCTCCTAAGTTGGGAAGAATACCAGATAGGGTAGGTATTGTTGTAAACTCGCCTTTTGGGAATAAATTTATCTTGTAACTCAGATAAGGTATTATAAAAAAAGTTAAGTGAGTCACCAAGAGACCTACTTCCAAATTCACTCACCCAGTCAATGGCCGCAATCTCTTCGTTAATAGATTCAAAGTTTCCTCTGTCAAATAAGTATTTAGTATACGGTGACGATGCTAGACAAGTGTGACCGGATAAACTAGTGACGATACTTAGGGCCGGGTGGTAGTCGTCTGTCGGCACCAGGGGATCCAAGCATTCACCCACATATATGGTCTCATTGCATAAAACCAAATCTAACAGCTTACCGTATTTATTTAATACTCCATTGTATTGGTTCAATGATAACACCTTCAATTCGTCCGTAAGGAGGTATGCGTCACTTGAACACATGTTGGTAGGTGAATAATAGTCATACGTCTTATGCCATGCTATACCACTCAAATTAAAATCCCCCACGACAAGAAATTTGTCAGTTGGATTATTTAATACTACTTCATTTAACTTATTTAGGAAATTAATCAACTGAACAGAAAAGGAATGACCCCGGTTCTGATTACACAGGTACAGAACGCATACGTACAATTTGAAATGCCTTTTAGTCCCTGGTTGATTAAAATTAATAGAAATCCACAGGTCCTCGGCTGAGGAATGAAGACCTAGCTGCGGGATTGCACCAATACCCCTACGGACGGCCATCAAAACACCACCCCCACGCGTTTGGCCAGTGAGTTGAAAGTCGCGGTCACGACGCCACACTATATAATCTCCACTAAATAATTCACCATCCAAAACACCATCAGTCAACCACGTTTCCGTGAGAATAATAATGTCGAATGAGGAAAGACAAAGTCGACGATAGAATTCCTGAGTTTTAGTTCGAAGACCACGAACGTTCTGGTAGTAAATGCACAAACTATTAACACTATAACAAGCCATTGGTATCAATAACATACACAAACTCATAATAAACATCAAAGTTCCATTCCAAACAGCTGCAGCAGGGACCGGTTATACAAAACAAAGTAAATAATAAGTCAATAATTGAATTATAAAACGGAATGTAACAAAAAATTGGTAGTGGGTAATCTTTAAAAAAGTGGACAAAGGTGCGACAAGGTAAATAGAACCTACCTAAAACTATGAGTGCAAGCAAGACAAACATGTGTTGGTATGTTCCCGTTAAGTATAGATCAGTGCAATAAACAATGCAAACAGTTCGAGTAATTAGATTAAAGTCAGGTAGCGAAACTTCGCCAGGGATGCTCAACCTTTTATACAATATTAAAATTTTTGTCACGTGACAAGAATAAAAAATAAAAATTAAAAAAAATTATACGCTGTGATAAATAAAAAGCAACAAAATGCAATTCTATTGCGACCTTTGAGTTTGTCTTACTTTGAATATTATTTAGAAGAAAATGCGATGCGAAAAAATGACATTAATAATAATGTTGATGCGGATGTGCTAACGGCACGGTTGGTCCGGTGGCTGGACAACCGACAGCCGTGCAACGTGTCGCGGATTCGATTCCCGGACGGAACAACTCTTTGTATGTTCCACAAATTGTTGTTTCGGGTCTGGGAGACACAGGACAAAATACTAGCGTGGGGCAACGTTTTATATTATAAAAAAAGAATTGTAGGTTTCTCTATACAACTAAGTAATTAAACACATACCATGATCATGGTCGCCAGGCTTCTTATCCCCAGGATGCAACAAACTGGTGTCGGCGCCAGGGAACGGAGCGGCGTCCTTCGGTGGGTCTCCATCTAGCTCGTCAGTTTCAGGACCTGCACAGCAAAATATGTACTTAATATATTCCATGAATAATAAATAAACGCGTAATATCAAACGTTTCTTTTTTGTCTTTTTGTAACCCTGTACTAGTTAGTTACCTCTAGTACTAGTTATACACAGTTAAATTCTAAATAATAATTTATTATGGAGTAGCTGCGTACTGAATGTAGGTACGTTTTGTGTGAATGCGCAAAATGTGACGAAGCACAATACCGACCTATTGTTTGGTAGGTAGGTATTGCTTTACTTTAGGTACTATATTTTTAAACAGTTCTTTTCTAAGGACATGTTTAGAAGCTTCGGGATGATGTAAGCACCAATGAGCAAAACTAGATAATATAAATAATGAAGACTGACCAGCTAGAGGAGGTAGCTGCCCACCTCTTCTCTCCAAGAGTGGCTGTCTAGGGTGTCCTAGGTCAGTCTCGCCCATGTTGTTGTTGCCATGCTGTGAAATAAATAACAATCCAATTAATTAATACGATATTTGTGGTGGAAACATAAATTGATAATATTGTAACTGGTTTAACAACAATGACTTAGTAGAGTATTTGATTCCGTATGTGCTATTTATTTTATCCATACTAATATTATAAAGCTGAAGAGTTTGTTTTTTTGTTTGTTTGAACGCGCTAATCTCCGAAACTACTGGTCCGATTTGAAAAATTCTTTCTGTGTTGGATAGCCTATTTATCGAGGAAGGCTATAGGCGATATAAAATATCATGCTACGATTAATAGGCGCCGAGCAGAGCGAGTGAAACCGTGCGGAAGTAGCTAGTTAGATCGGTGTCCGTGATTAATGTAACTTTATAGACGCTAGATAACTTAAAACTAGAAAATTAGAAAAAGTACCTATAATATAGACGCGACACCATCATACCTAAGTAATTGAAATGAACTATACACATCAAATTGTATTGTAAAGTGTGAGATGGCCTTGAACAGGAAGTTCTACTATGCGTTTTGTAATATACAGGTGCAAAGAATCTGACTATTAACATAATTATATCATCATAGTTTCCACAGACGTATGTATACGTATCCAGGTGCAGAGAGCGTGAGTCAATGTTTATAATGTGTACCCAAAATAAACTGCAGACTGTATAGAATTCAACTAACACATGTGCTATTACTAGATACTTCTAATTTATTAAAATATTGTAGATTGGTTTAGTTAGTTCTTAGCCAGTATGAATACCGAACAGGATTCGAGGTTTCATGTTCGTATCATAATTATGTTAAATTCGAAGACAATATTATAATTTTCGTTTTGTCTCGTATAAAACTAAGATAACTGTAGGCCTTTAAAAAAGATATAAATGTAATATTAATTAAAAATCCTTTGACGACAATAGAAGATATTTGAACAACTAATTACTGCAAGTAATGATAACTCATCATTTAAAAACCCAGGTTGACAAGATTTCCAGCAACTAGGGATGGAAGAAGGCCACATTCCGAGCAAATGGCGAAATACCACCAGAATCTGGGAACTACAGCATTCGGTCCTTGCTGAGTGCATAATGAATCATTACAATATCAGAAACTAAGAGAACAAGGTACAGTTTAGTACCCCACGTCATATCCTTTAAACTTATTTTATTTTATTTATTTACTTTGAAGTTGGGCGGGGTTTTCCCTACTTGAAGGCCAGGGAAATAATTATTCATGACAATCGGTAACTATGATTAATTATTTAATTAATTTATTGGTACTGAAGTTTGAAATTCTCGTGAACAATGATTGTAGTAGTCGGGTTTTGATTAGTACCCTATGTTTATTATTAAGGTACTGAAACTACATGCATCTTGTGATTTTCCTTTAATCTTTTATGAGGAGTATTCGAGTAGCCATGCAATATTTTTTTAGTAAAACGTTATTTGTTTTGTTAGACGCAGAATGTTTGCTTTCTTCTTACTTAGTCGAGATTGGCATCCGTATATTCAAGGTCCCTGAGCTGAGATATGCGTATTGAGAAAGTAAAATAAAGGCAGGGCTTTGTTTAAATTACCTTGTAATGAGAAAATGATCTACTGCGACGAATGCCATATCCAAATACTAGCTATAATCTGTTTATTTAATAACATTAAAGCGAAAATGAATGTGTAAATAAGTACTTAGTCCTTAAGGAAAGAAATGTCGGGATTTTTATGTAATTGTGGCAAATGCTAGTCAATAACAAAGACAATGTTGATTCACACAAACTTAAATAAGTAGGTACTTCTTACCAACTAGCTTAGGAAAATAAAACAGAATATAATTTATTGCGTGTGATGTAAAAATAGTCTCTCGCTAGACGATACGTCAACTCACTGAGATAAACGTTCTTTACATAAAACATAACAGTTTTTTACATACAAATCATTTTACATTCAAACAACGATTTCATTCATTCAGGTCGTGATTATGTCACTAAGCTAAGAGCTAAGAAAATGGGTGCTTATAAATAGAACTGCCTCATGTGTTTAATGGAAGCGTTTTACCTACCAATAAAACGCATATTAATTTACTTACCTTATTCGAAGCTTATTTAATTGAGATAGGCCTTCCGCTTCCCTCCTTCCGCTTTTCCTATATGTCTATCTCTTTCTACTACGTCACTTCCATTTGGCAGTGGTGGGGAGGCTTGCTAAGAGAGACTCGCCATTTTTATTTCATTGAGTCTCATTACCAGGCAGAGCTTGACTATAAGCTTCGAATAAGGTAAGTAAATTAATATGCGTTTTATTGGTAGGTAAAACGCTTCCATTAATTTGACTTGACCGTTATTCGAAGCTTATTTAATTGAGACGTGTTTGTTATCGCCTGGTGGAAGTGACAGACGCCAATGTGAGGTAAAGTATGACTGCGTTGACCGCAGTCGTACTACCTGGTATGATGTGGTAAAATCACAGAATAGAAAAACTAAGAAAAATAGCAAATATCTAAAAACATATACATGTTTTGATGAAAGGTATTGAATAGAAAACCTGTTATTTTTAATTTTTTCAATAATAATTGTATTTGATCTGAACAAAAACAGATGTTATATATTTCTGAGGTATTTTATTGCCTCGTTTCTAATTTTCTAATCGTCTGTATTGAATAAAAAGGTGACATACAAAGGCACACACATCTTAGAAAGGATCGCCTCAAAAGGATAACTATCCACTAAATTTTTTCAGATCACAGCTGATCTGAAACCCTCAGGATATCTTGGGGGATTACTGATATCTTAATATCGGTTACCACCAAGAAGGAACTTTATCCTGACCGCAATTAGATTTTTCTATGTCGGTTTAAGAAATTTGCATTATTTTCAAAATTGACACATAACATCACAGCTTACGCCATTAAGTTATGCCTCTTATGGTATGCTTAGTCCATTGGACTGGATCTGAGCTTTAGAAATTTGGTATACAGGCTGGGTATGGGCCGACTTCGGTGATATATCCCGATTAAATGCTCCCATGGTAGAAATACACGGGCAAAGTCGTGCGTGAAAGCTAATTTATTATTATCCATTTAATCAACAGAATCAGTTTTTGATCTAAAAGCCGACCGAAAAACTAGTACGTCTACGTCATTATGATTATGGTAATTATTAGTATCAATATCGAGGAAAGTTAGGTCATGGAATCTTTTCCTGGAGTATAGGAGAAATGGAACAGCTGTTTGTCTCTGCACTTGAAAGACTATTAATAAGTTTACTGTCTAAGAATCTAGCTAGATCGTTTATGACCCAAACAGGGGGATTGACATGATCAATCACCATTTACAACATGTTTTACACAGTCAGTTAATCTCAAATATAAGTACCTAACTGATGTGTTAGTTCATAAGTTAAATTAATGTTACTGATTGTATAGTTTTTAACAATACATGCTAAACGACATATGGTTCTGGTTAACAAAGGACAGCAACCACAGATTTTTGTGACAAATTTTAATTGTACGACAAATTATTGATTCAATAGAGATCCGATATAGATAAAAATGTAGTCAAAAGTCTTGCTATAGGAGCTGAGGGTC